AATATTTTTTTATAAAAGCCTAGGTAGTTATACAACAAACACCATATAAATCCCCTTTTTAAACTTTGAACAAAACTTATAAAAATTCGACAAATTTTCAAACTTTTTATTCAGAGTTTTTGGAAACATTTTTGGTATGCAGTTATGTAGCCCATTTTTCGATTGGCTACAAAATACGGTTGATTTTTAAGAGTTTTTTTTTTTATTCAAGGAGAATGTCTAGCTTCGTCAACAAAAAAAAATGAAATTACACTTTGTTACACTAAAATTGAAAGGGCTACAAAACTGCATACCAAAACTTTTTCTAAAAATTCTGAATAAAAGGTTTGAAAGCGAGGTGAAAATTTGTCGAATTTTTATAAATTTTGTTCAAAGTTTAAAAAGCGGGTTTATATGATGTTTGTTGTGTAACTTTATAAAAAAATAGTAAACATAAAATAAACTAAAGAATCATAGGCAAAACTCTTCAAAGAAAGATGAGTCTATTATTTCTGCCGCCACTGTACATATAGCTCTTTTAGCTATATCTAAAATTATTATTTGGTTTCATATAGAAGCATGGATTGTTTCTTCAGCAAGGGCATTGGAGGACGCTTATCCGTCTGCAAGCATGGTACTAGCATACTCCATGTACATACCCTGCAAAAAATTGTGCGACTAATCTCTAAAGAGAGTATTCCGAGATTACTCTCAATCGGGTACAATTGGGCATTAATTAGCCGCAACTAGTCTCATACGGGTACTAATGGAGGCCAATTAGTCTCGACTCATCCCTTATGGGTATAATTGGGGATCGTGGGGAATTAAGCTCAAAGACAGGGGCTAGGGTGGGACATATTTTTTGCTTTATTCCAAAAATTTCAATAAAATGTTTGTAAGATGTATTCAAATGGAATTAATTAAAATTAACTCAGTACATGCATACATATTTATGTACAGATGTTTCTACATATATTCACCCGCATACATACATTTTTGCACTGTTATCAATAAAACAATAATATAGTTAACAACTTGCAATGGCAAACTTTAAAAAATAATATCTTTCACTTTTAACGCAGCCATACCGAACAACTCCACTGGTTCTGCCTGGTGCTAAGGTCAAGAAGGATGCTCCAACCACAGAATCATACCTGAGGTATCACCCGAATCCGGCTGTGCGCGCTCATCCCGGCCACGACTTCCATGACAGCGTGATGAAGCAACGCGTCGCCGACACCATGTTGCACAAAGTAGTTGGCCAGGATGCCGATACTGGCAGGGTAAGGCCGAAGCCGACTTTTGCACCTACATACATACATAAGTAGCTTGACAACTATTTTGTCGCCTTACAGGTATTCCACAAACAATTCAACTCCCCCATTGGCCTGTATTCAGACAGCAACATCGAGAACACCATCAGACAAACAGTTCCGTAAGTGTCGAATATTTTTTTTTAACACTTTAACTCGAATTATTATCTACATACATACATACTATGTATATTTTGCTATACACAAAGGAATGTTGATATACATTTGAGATTTTATTTTCGATAAATTACTCGTAGCTTAATCAATACAAACACATATATATATATATATATTGTGACGACACATAATGCTTAATTAATTATATCTAATAAATACAAGCTGCAACCAAAGGCTTTTTTTGCCCATTTAAGTGGCCATTATTTTGCAGAGCGTAGGCCAATCAATATGTACATGTTTGGACTTGCTCATGGTGTCGTCATCAGTATTACAAAAGGGCCCATGTGACATTTTTCGGAAAAATTTTGTTCAAATACATACCTGTCCAAACAGCAAGTTTGCTTCAGAGTTGCATTCCAGCTTTTAGCTTAATTTATATATAAAAAAAAAAAATAATAAAAATAAAAATTGCCTATAAGGTCCTTTTGTTATGTTAACGACGACATTCACCGCCGTTTGGGCGCATAACACGCTTAGCAAATTGCTTAAATTTTTTATATAGTAAATTAGGGTGTTAAATCCATAAATCTGAAAATGATACAATTTTGTATACTAAAATTTTTGTAAACTCTTAAGCGGCTTAGCTCTCTATTGCAGCGACTATAAAAGTTATGTTGTATGTTTGTAGGCTGTTTTTCATATTGGAAAACATTTTACTTTTATTTTGGAAAACTTCAAGCCAAAAATTTTTTTCGTGGACCCTAGCTTTTGCCTGCGCCAATTTTGCTTATTTTCATAGCTAATTTTGCATATGTCGAGCGAAAGAGTAATCACATGACATTTAAGGACTACAAATAGTACCAAAAAACATCTAGAAGGTGTAACAAAAAAATATAAAAAAAATCCAGTACGGGTTACCATAATGAATTATTTGTTCTTCGATTGAATCATACTCTCCAGAAGAACTGTAAGAGTTATTACTTCTAGGTGGCACCGTGGTCGATTTTTGAAAATACCTAGCCAAAAAAAAGCTTATTTTTGTAATTGTATACCCTTATCCCAACTGTTTAGCACAAACTAATATTTTATTTTGAATCAGAAATATAGGAAAAAATTATTTCAAACTGAATAAGATTTTTGCAAACAATTTTTATAACTGTGAAAAAATTAAAAGCATTCTTCTTACCAAATTCAACTTGTAATTCAAAATTGGTTTAAGGTAAAGATAAAAATTGATTAAGCCTCGTAAAAATGTTTCTTTTTTATGACTAAGTTGAAAATACTAGGGTGTTAAAAGCAATTTGAATTATTCGGCCAGATGTACGACCTAAACTGGCCCACTCAAAATTTAAATTTTCAACATTATGCAGTGTAATTTTTACTCTGAACTTTGGATTCAAAATGTAAATTGACAGATTACGATTTGAAAAAAATGTAGGGTCTGTAAATATGCATACACATATGCACATATGTTAATGAGCAGCATTTTTTTTTTTAATTAACCAATAACCAGTTAAGTAGAGTTATAAACTATTCCCGTGCCCCTGAACTACATATGTTTGTATGTATGTGCTGCTGTGTGTTTTTGGAATGTTTGTTATTTATTAGTCGTCGATATAGTTTTTCAATATTTTTAGCAGCAAATT